CAAAATAAGTGAACAGTTCATTATGAAACTGAAACATAATTCGAATTTCCTTATTCTAAAAAGAGACTAAAGTTCGGGTAAGAGTACTGTTAGCAGTTACCATTTTGGGTTCAAGGAACACATGTACAAGTATTTCGAAGACCTCTCGCTGACGTCTTCAAGTGGGTCAATGAACGAAACAGTGGGCGTAACATGACTAATTCTGCTCCACTTTTACAGACTTAGGTGATGAATTGAGGCCTACGGTTTGTATTATTCGTAATTTAAATGATATTGCCAATACTATTGAACATGAAAATAGTCAACCGTAAACCAATGAGAATACAACCTTCTGACAGCCTCTTTATAATCGGCATAGTGCTTGTATCACGAAACCTTTTTAAAATGCATTTGTGGCATGTTACGAATATACAGCGTGTCGTTACCATCGCGACAATAAATGAACACGCATATAGGGGATAACTTTTTAAAGTTGTATTAAATATTTAAATTCTTTAAACATCAACATTTAACGAGCTATTACATTTTCCCTTACCTATAAAAGCGTAACGTAAAGTTCATTTGTAAAGGTCACAAAGCATATGAATGGGTTGAATGAATTTAAAAGAGACAAAACATACTGTTAGAAGGAGAGGCTTGTAATACGACGCTGTGACGCGAGTTGTATAGGATGTTACAAATTTTGTTTCTTTTTTACTTAATTAGTTTGTATGAAAAATATTTTTTTTTAATTATGGATTTTGTTTAACGTTAATATTTTTTTATGATTATTGGCAAGTAGCGTTAGACGTGTGTTCATTTATTGTCGCGATGGTAACGACACGCTGTATACACGAATATAAATTTAAATAAATTTCCTGTCTCTCAATTTAAATAAAACCGGCAAAATTCTAAAATGCAATTAACCTTTTTTAGAATACATTTCTCTTACATTGCACCTTAACTTCATCATTCTTTACCAGAAAAGATTACCAGTCTCCTGACTAAACCCATCAAGTGATACCACAATGAATAAAATAAGAACAAATGTTATGTCAAAAGACATAACAGTGTCTTATCAATATGAACAAAGAACATTTAGTGGCACTGTGGAAGCTAACACTTATAGTTAACATATTTTCCATGCAGTAACATATATGTACCTATATGTATGTGTATATTGTATTATATTTTAATAGCGTTGTGATAATCTTGAATCGACACATACATTAATTTTACTAACTAGCAACTGTATGCATAACTCATTTTATAACTAGACCGCGATGTAGCTACTGTTATGGTCGTCAGCAAACCCAAGCACGGATACCCCGCACCCCGAACTAGTTGGGTTGGGATGGATTGCTTATCTTCGATAAACTTTTTTATGGCGTAAAATTAGCAATTACAATTTTTGATTAATTTGTTTACATAAAAAGTTGGGTTTGTATGTTTGTGTACACGACACTCAAAAACCAGCCGATGGATTTACTTTATGTTTGTTCGCAAACATACCCATTGAACAGAAGATGATTTTTATGCAGTTGTTTTAACTTTTAGGACATGATTTCAACTTATTTAACTAACTTGATAATGAAACAATTTTTAACGAAATATGGAGCATAAGCCGCCTATGCTTTACTTTCCTAAATGTTCTAAAATTATCTTGGGTATGCACACACGTAAATGGTGCCAGCGAAACCATAGCCATTGTTGAACATTTACCTGGCATAAAATATCACACGCAAATCAGTATTCAAAAGATTTGAAGCAACTTATCAAACAAAGTTCAATGAAACTAAAACACCACACACAAATGACTGACTCGTGACCCAAATTCACGAAATGATCACATCGTACATGTACAGCAGCTTGCCTTTTGAGAACAATGATCTATTTGTAATGGGTCCTTTCTTGTATTAATTCTAAAACTTTTAATATTTTAATTATTAAAATTTTACGGTTTTTATCGAATATAATTTGTTTAAAACTTAATAGAGTAGACTATATCTACGCAAATATCATATCTTTTCTATCGACAAATATGAAATATATTTTGGCGCAGATGTACAAAATATACAAGGGCTATACTTTAAAAAATATTTCAACCATTTATTACACTTTAAAACACTAAATAAAAGATTTTGATCACGATATACCTCTTTTGTCTCTGCGTCGCCCATATAGAATGTCTTAGGCATAAAGTCCGCAATGTTAATTGTTTGTTAATTTTAATTTAAACAATGTTAATTTTTTGTGTAAAAGTTTAAATAAATAAATATGCTCAATACAAATAAGTATATAATGGTAAAAATAATATACAATTAGTCTTTCCAAATTATTGATGCAGAAATACAGGCGAAATAAATGTGTACACGTACTGATGAGGAGTTACTTTAAAAATAAGAACTCTTAGGGTCCCTGGCGCTGCACATTCATTAATTACTTTGTATTAATTATGTATATATTGAAATATTATAATGTATCAATTTGTCCTCAAATTGATGGAGCAATGCGTTAGCAATTATGCCAAATTTTAGCAATTAAGATTTGTTTTTCGATGTTTAACATTAAACATATTTCAATTTGAAAATAATTCACGGTTTTTTTATCAGTAGATGCTAGTCAGTATTTAACTTCTATTAATTAAGAACGATACGGCTTATCAATGACACCGATAAAAATAGCGAATATAGAAATATATTTTATTGTTAGGGACAAAGCAAAATTCCCAGAGTGATATACCAAAAGCCGTTCTGAGAATTCACTCGTTTCGGTATTGTTTCCGCAACTTACATAATTTGTAATTTTCCCATGTAGCCGTATTATCAAGATTCTCGCAACATGCCTTCTATAATGGCATTACTGCTCAGTGCTGGCTAAATACGCGGCCAAATTTGACGACAATTTCATTTACTTTATTTGTACTAGATATAGAATTAATATTAATTAATTTATTAATCTAAAAATTAAAAAAAAGTGTGAAAAAGTGACATTCAAAGATTAATAAGTTCATCACAAAACATATGTAAATAGATAGAATACAAAGATTCAAAATCTTTATCTTATCCTTTAAACGAGCAATTCTTGTGTGTACATATATATATAACCGGAATCTCGGAAACGGCTCCAGCGATTTTCATTAAATTTCATTTTTAGAAAATGTTCTTTTATTCCTGTTTTCAGGGAATGAAAAATATCAAATATGACAGTAAATTTGGCAAAAAAAATTGTTATAATAGCTCGCTAGATAATCGGGCGGCCCCAAAATAGACAGCCGCGGTTCGTATCTCGATCATTTACACACTTATTTTTTTTAACCTTTTTTTCTATACCAGATTATTTTCTTTATTTTTTATTTTTCATTTCCAAAATACATGATTTACCAAAAAAAAAACGAGCAAAGCTCGGTCCTCCAGGTACTTTATACTAAAGCAGCGGAACCAATACACGTAGTCCTGTACGCGTGACTTAAATCCGCCAATTTATAAATTAAAAAAAAAAACGAATTGTGAATCTAAACAATTCTCGAATCAACCTGAAGACACGGACACGTTTGCGGACAAGGAGCTATAATTTCTTTACCTGTTACTTATTCTGCTATTATATTTCTTCGTTATTAATTCGTTACTTGAAGATAATTAAGAAAGTGATAAATCAGTTAACAGGCAACAATAGTTGTGTCAATTATAAATCGTGTTCATTATTGCAAGGCTATATTATCTTTATTCTGAGGGTTCCGTACCTCAAAAGGTAAAAAAGGAACCCTTTTAAGATCACTCTTGTCCGTCTGTCGGTCCGCGTCTCAGCACCGATTTTTGAATTCTAGGTCAACCGGAATACGGTAGTTCCCGTTGACGTTCCCGTAGGGCTGTAGATGGGTCGCCAGGTCTTAATAAAGTGGGCCCCGGCCACCTCACCCATCAGACGAAACGCAGAAGTGCTACACTTCTACATCACACCGGTCTTCTGTTAGGTCGTGGTATTAACCTGGACGGATCTGCCCATTCATGCAACAGCAAGGACTGTTGCGTGAATATACACCATAAAATATGAGTAGGTACGTACGGAACCCTCGGTGAACGAGTTCGACTCGCACTTGACCGGTTTTTTTATGTGAAAAGATGGACTGGCAAGCAAGTTGGCGGGTCCCATGATGTTAAGTTATTGTCTCTGCCCATGGATATGTGCAACACCTGTAGTATCCTACTTGACGCTCGGGCGTCCGTGAGGTTGTGGTTATATACTTCTCTATGGTACTAACTATGTTATAATTAAATAAAGGCAATCTTTAGCTATTTTGGAAGATCAATTTGCAAAACAATTCAAAAACCTGAGAAACCTCGTCATTACTGTAAACCTCGACTGAAAAAAAATTATTTCGAAGATATATTAAGTCCGCCAATCCGCAGTGGGGCCGCGTGGTGGTTTTTGCCCTGATACCCTCTGTGCAGAGGAGGCCTTTACCCAGCAGTGGGACACGTATGGGCTGTTACTTTACTTTTTTACTGTACGACTGCTGATCTTTGTGACTATAATAAGTACTTATGTACACTGTGAGTGTCAAAGATAACATAAAACATTGCAAAACACATGTGAGTTTTTCAACTAGTATTGAAGCAGCAATTCAAAGAGCCCCGTAGTAGTTCTGCTGTTGCACGAATGGGCATGGTCTGGTGGACCCACCGCTTAAAAGTTTAGCAACGTAACCGCCACCCCAGAGACGTTGTCCATAGGCGTCGGTGGCTATTCACATAAGGTGAACCGTTTTGCCACCTTCTGCAATAATTAAAGTCAGGTAGTTCGTGCTGTCTTGTATTCTATAAATATAGGGTGATAAAATTGCTTTCTTATTAATTTCATGCCTGACTGGACCCCTGTAGAGGCTGTTCTCATTTTATTGGTGAAAAATAGTTTATTACAAGTAATGAAGGTTGTTTTTTATTTCAGGCACAATGGTTGAGGTTAAAGCCGGGCAGTTTTAACAGCAGCGAATTAAATAAAATGATATTATGAAACGAGTTATGGAATCGCCAGTGAGAATATTGATAGGTATGTATTTATCTTCCTTACTTGTTTTAATCTGGATTTACATATGAAGTAAATAATAAAATTCATTTATTGCTATTTTGGGATGAGAATGGAAATACTAATAATGTATTTTGTATAATAGTAAATAGTTAGTAATATATAAACATAGCCCATTTTTTTCAAATACACATATTGTCATCTTAATACTTGTATAATCTGTTTTATATGAAATCATAACTCAACTAATTCGTGAAAAGTGTATGCAAAAGCCAAGAACAAGATATTCAACATCAGGCACTTAATTTGTATTGTAAAACAGTGACAAAACTAATTTCAGGTGCGGCAGTAACAGTGCACCTACTACTGTTAACGAGCACAGCAGTTAATGGCAGCGCTCTACCGAACGACACATTCCCAACGACTGTGAAAGATGAAAAAGTCTCGAATTTTGGCCACTTGAACGGTACGCGGACAATAAACGACAGAGTGAAAACACTAGACATAGCGCTAAATGAGCTGCATCCTAAAGACTCCACTTCTGAAGAACACACTGAAAATAATATCAAATACAAAGACAGAGGAAGGGTAAGATTCCATTCCCAATTGAAGTCAAGTACGGAGAGTCCCTTAAGACGAATAAGATTATCACCCGTAACATCAAACATAGTAGAAGTGACTCCTGCTTCAGACGTCAAGAAACTGTTCAAAACTATGGATAGTACGCAAAAGGATAAACCGACTATAGCTCCCATATTAGCTTCGAGTACAAGCACCGTTACTAGTATGCCACTGAGTGCGGAGAAAGAAAGTGACAAAATAGATAGTGATGAGGAGGAAGATGAGGATGATGATGAATATGATCATTACAGATCAACTAAGGACCATGAAAGTGATTTCTTTACCATACCTGGTTATAACGATGACGAAAAGAAGTATAATAGAATAAAAGAAGAATTAAACACACCGTCCTTTGACAAATATTCAAGCTTCTTTTCCAAGGATACCTATAGCTCCCAAGAAAGTAAAAACGATGGGCCGTATAAGTTGCACAATTTCTTCGATTTTGATAGTGATCTCACGACACCAAAGAATGATTTCTTCGATCAGAAATATCATGACATTTCGTCAAGTATAATGAAAAATCTAGCTTCAATTAAAACCAAATCCCCGCCTGCAAATGCTACAAACACCCAAAAAATAATCAAAGAGAATGTTGGTTTTGAGAAACTGAGTAATGGCTCACCAAACAACAAATCAACGGTAATAATTAAAAATACGAAGGAGACGCGACTTTTAGACAATGAACAAGCAGGATCGGTCAATAGCGAGCTATCCGATGTTCACGGTACAAGTATTTATTATGAAATGTCCGTTTTGTCAACCGAGACTTACCACTTTAGCGATGATGATTGTGAAAATGAAACGCCACCAATAAAAACTACAGTGAGTACGTCTCTTAGTGAAGAAGAAGCTTATTTAAAAGCAACGCAGCCAACAACAAATCAAATTTCACCGTTACCGATGGTTTATTCGACAGATAACCCGTTTATGTCACAAAGTGTAATTCCAAACTCAATTAATACAATAATTCCCATTGCAGAGTCGGGAATACCAATATCAACTCAAAATTCAATTAGAAGTCCCGATAGGCCAGTCAAAGTAGTTTCAAGTGGTTCTTATAGAAACCGTGATTATTCGAAGCGGCTTAATTTCGCTGGAAATAAAGATTCCATAAACAGTGTCACCCAGCAATCTGATCCTGCAATAAGTCTAGCACAGAGACCTTTGACGCGTAAATTTCACTATACGACACCTAAAACAAAACCTATATGGATGGCTCCACGGCGTAATATTACTAAGGCCAAAACATATCCCACAACGATCTACGCAGAACACTTTAATATTAAAGACAAGTTTACAAGTACATTCCGTCCAATGTTATCCCAAAAAGCAGTTTTAACGACTTTTGCTTCCGATATAGATCCAGTGTTGCAAAGTGACGTTAGTGGCGTGAAGAAAGTTGTACAATCACAGGTAATTTCCGATAATATGATACCATCTTTGTGGAAAAGAGGTTCTATGAAATTCACTACGACTTCCGCGGCTCCAACGGTGGTCGAAACAGGTATAAGCGACTTAGAAATTCCTCCGACAATGACCGCATGGGCACTGGCTAGTTTAAGGAGTCCGCCATCGTCCTCGAGTGCGGTAGGGAACGTAAGTGTGTCGACGCAGAAGAGCGTAGATGAAAATGAACTGCAAAAAGTCAGTGAGGTAGTAGGTGAGTAATAAATAAAACCAAATATTAAATTAACTTCCTTGCATAGTGTACATTATAACATTATTTTAATTAAAGTCTAATTGAAATGTATTTTTTCATATATTATAGTATAAAAATTGGCTTTTGATTTTAATGAAAAATAAAATGATGTTCTATGTGATGTTAATATTTAAAAGAAAATAAATTATCACAGTGTTAGTCACTATTCAAATTTGTTACATAATATGAATGTTTTAAAATATTTTCAGACAATAAAGAAACAATCACAGCCCCTACAACAACAATCTCGATAAACTCTGGTGCCCTCAGCAATGATGTCTCAAACAATGTCACTGAAATGGACCAGAATAAACTACCTTGGAAGCCTATTACTTCGATCAATGACATAAGTGATGAAAAGGAAATTGTAACAAGATCAGAAAGACTTCCTGCTGAAAGCAACATATCTATCCAAAGTAGTTTAAAACCGTCTAATAGTACTCAAGTTCCACAAAAAATTTCAAAAATAGCGACGGAAACGATTGAAAGTAACGAATTGAAACCATTATGGATCCCGGCTATGATTAACCCGGACGTTACTACCACAGAAGAGACGGTAGTATCTGAAAAAGATAACATTCAACCAGTTGATGCTACAAAGTCAACTGGTTTTGAATCTATAACGAAACTTCCATCGGGCGTGACCACGCCTACAGACGAAAATGATAGCACTGTAACGCAACAATCTGAAATAGAAACTACCCCTAATCTTGAAATCACAACTATCAGATTATTATACGTTCCTCCTGAAGATGCTACAGAGGAGACGGAGGCATCGAGTACAAGTGAAAACTGGCGTTCAGCTATTCCCACTAGAACCATGCCAACCACATTTGATGACAGTCCAATTACCACATACCGGCCTAAGTATACAACTACAAGCGTAATAGGTGAAGAAACAACTGCAATATTTATAGATACAACACCACAACTAGAAATATCTTCACAGATAATAGAAGATGCAACACATGGATCATCAGGAACTTCGACGAAACCAACAACTGAAGCATTTAATAGGAATCAACCGGCTACGACTGATCTACCGTCAACTACAGTTACTGACTGTGAAGAGACTACTTATGAAACGACGTCGACAACGACCATCCAAACTGAATTAATTACAGAAAAAATAAGAGAAATAATGGATATTAAAGAAACTACTGAAAATCCGGAAGCATTTAAAACAACGGACGAATCAACACTGCACATACAAACTGACAGTAGATCAGAAGAGAACAGTGATAGTAACGAAGTTATTTTACAAGACACAACAGAAACACCAACAACTACTCCCAGTTCTATACCAAGTACGAGCACCATAACAGAAGATTTCGCTCCTAATACATCTGCATTTCCTTTGACGACAACCACACTTCAAACTACAACAAATGGCGCTAAAGAAAATGACGCACAACCCAAATTAAATGTAGTTACAACACAACAAAGTGATGAAACGACAGCTTACACGACTGAAATGACAACAAAATCAATCAGTGAGTTAGAAGATTTGACTAGTTATGCGGAAGATGTGACTACAGAGTCTTCTTCTCGAGTGTTGACCGAAGAAGCTGGGTCAGGGGCGGCCATAGCCATCGCAGTAAGCACGATTGGTGTTATAGCTTTGGTCCTTCTCCTAGGACTATTGGTAAGTGGAAGACAACGTGCGAGTATATCAATAAATACTAAATTCATGATATAAATTATTGTAACTATTCTCATTAATTCGTATGTACTTCATTATATTTTATTTTCCATTTCATTACTAAAATCTCTACATACTATTCCTCAAAGGTGGTCGGTTCACCATAACTTCCATTATTCTTCATCATATTGAATGATTCAGTTTATATTTGCCGCTTTTAAAGAAAAATACAAAAGGTAAATAAAGTTAATGTAAATTTCATAAAAATAACTAAACTCATGTAAAAAAATCTTATAAATAATTTATGATAATGCCATCTATTGACAATTAAACAAATGAAAGTAGACTGAAAAATGTGATTTTTTAAAATAATACAAGTTTAATTCATATATACTTATATACACATTTAATAATTACCTTTAATGAATAATAATAATAACATTCGGTAACTGATTGCGATACTGTACGAAAATATCGCAAGGGTCCACTAGTAAATAATTATTAGGTGTACGACACCGAGAAGCGCCCCGCGGAAGACTTGCGATTGTTGCAAAAGGTGATATGCAAACCTACGACATGAATGGAATAAAATAAAATAGTGTTGTAAATAGCGACATATCTCCATTCACCACGTGTATGAGTAGCCGTGAACAAGACCATACAAACCTGAGATTCACATTTGTCAAATTTCTGCCTTTATCTTTCGGGGTTTTCCAATTCACTTCGTACAATCAGCTTTCTGCAGTCGAGTATTCGACGATCTTCCGCCGCAGAATGTTCATACAACATATCCAAAGTAGAGAGCATAATATCTATAGGCCTGCCTCACGATAAATTACATTCACTACTTTGGAGAACGTTGTAGACTTATAATTTTTCCGCTTCTGTCGCCTGAAATCATAATAAACTATTTTTATGAATACGCATCTGTGCACACCCTTTTGTCAATATTTATAAAATTGCAGAGTACGTGGTAAGTCGCTAAGTCAAGTAAGTAATTAACCTTTAGTTCATGAAAATAACTATGGTAGGGTCACGCAATAGCCTTTCCTGTTGCATGTAACAGCATTCGTAAGTGGGCCGGTCCGTCAAGGGAAGTACCAAGACCTCACAGAAGACAGGCGTAAAGTGGTTGTGTTACAGTTGTGCGTTTCGTCTGGTGAGTGAGGTAAACGGAGCCAAGTTTATTGAAAAGGCGATGCATCTGAGATCCTGCGGGTGTTGCAAATGCCCACGGGTCGCGGTTAATACTTAAAATCAGGTGAAAAGGCAGCTCGCTTGCCACTTTCTCACAAAGAAAATCATGTTCATACACAGTTCAGACCAAGCTTAGTAAAGTTTTACGGTGGTAGAGCCACGAAGTTGCCTCGGCAGTTGCACGAATGGACAGGCTCGTCCGGGTAAGTGCCACGACTTCACAGAAGACCGGCGTAAAGTGGAAGTATAATACTTTCGCGTTTCGTCTGGTGAGTGAGGTGGCCGGAGCCCAATTTTCAAAAGGATATCCAACACATCTGCAACCCTCGGGTGTAGCAGATGTCCATGGGCGGCGGTATTCACTTAACATCAGGTGAACCGCCTGCTCGCTTACATAAAAAAACCGGCAACACATAAAAAAAGGAAATAAGTAATTGTCGAATCGTGAAAAATTAATTGTTACCTAAAGTTTAGTTTAACAAAACTTTTTCTTTTCGTTTAATTACCTGGATACAGTTGGTGGAGCGATGTTTATATATCTTGCGTGAAGTCTGAAATTGTTAAACGGCACCTTTAAACTTTGATTTTAGAAACATTTGGTACCTAATGAACTAAAGCAAATATTTATTTACAAAATTGAAGTCCATTGAAGACTTGCATTGGTATTTTATGGTTTGGGACACCATGTTTAAAATTAAATCGCAGCAAATGAACGCGGCAGTGTCATTGGAGCTGCGTCGGCTTCCCATCGACCAACGGTCCCTCATATCGGGGTGATAAAAATTCCTCAACTTGCAACGCGAACACTAACGCGGCCACCCGACACCGTCCGTTATCGTTATTGCAACAACCAGCGCGCTCTGCCTTTATATCGGTCAGTCTTATCGGCTTCCACAAAGAAAATCTTTACTCATATATTACATCTATCATATTTGTTAATAATTTGAAACAAAAAAAGTGTACTATAGTACAAACACTTTTTGAAAACACATTTTGATTCCATTTGATTTTCTAAATCCGCTATTTTTGCATATAGGCACGTCATAGATACATGTTCAAACACATAAACCTTGTATTTGGCTTCAACGCAGGTGGAAACAAAAAAAAACGCCTAGCTTGCATCCTTCATGCAACATTTTGTCTTAAAGTTCTATCAAGATAAATATGTTTTATTACTTTGTTTATAACAATATCAATGGAGTATTTATCGCGTTACATAAGCTACGAATCAAACGAAGCTTTTGTTGTAGCATTTATTACAAAGCTAGCTCTCCTGGCTAACTACCAGTCTCACAACCTCACTCTGGGTCTGTTAATAACTGGAAATTCATCCTCTTAAAGATTGTAGCACTTACTGGTGCCGCGTCGCCTTTACTGATGCCGCGAGGTCCAACAGCTGCGGACTGTAATCACTTATCCTTGAGTTCGTTTTTAGATAATCCTACATTTGGCAATTTCGGTGATGTCCTAATGTCCTATCATAGATTCCTAGATTCGCGTGGTGGTGGTCTCAACACCCTCTGTACTGGGGATGCCTTTGACTAGCAATGGGGCAAAATATCCAAATCTACATTGATAAATTGAACAAATCAAAAATATATTGGTTAAAAAAATAAGAAAAACATATTGGATAAATATAAAAAATATAAAATTTAACTTACCAAACTTGCAGTTGGCGTTTAAAGCTCTGATGACAGGCTGGAACCTAATCAACTCTAATGTAGAGTACAGTACGCTATATGCGCTACGTCCATTTCGGTTCGATTTAATAATAAATCTATCAGAAGCTAAATTTCAATTAATTCACTCTTGATTATTTCCATGAAAATATTAATAAATAAAATTTTCTCCAAAGGGACTGCTTGGAAAAACACGCGATTTGCGTTTCTAAAATAGTGATTGCTCGTATTGAAGAGAATACTTTTATTTGGAGGGAGGAATTTAATTTTTATAATACTCAATACTCAAAGCGTATAACGTATACGTACCTAAGTGAACGCGTGCGAACCGAGATGTGCGTACGCCGTGCGCCGTGCCGGGTGGCGGAATGAATGAGATGGTGGGTTGGCTCATTGGGTGGGAGCACGGCAGTAGGCACCCGGGCAGCCGGCCCCGGGGACTGTTTGGCCTCGCTCAGGGTGCACACATTAGCGAAAGTCCCGTACCGGGCTGTTACACGTATCCACCGAGCGACAGACCCTAGGTCTATCATCTAAATCTAAAGTGATCGAAGTTTTGGCTCTTGAATAAAAACTGAACTCGTAGTCTTCTACAAAATTGTCATACGTAAGCCTAACAAAACGTCACTAGGTTAGAAATATTACAAAAGTATATTTTTTTTACTGTATAACTGGGCGTCCACTAATTACTAGTTGAATCTCATCTAATCTTACTGTGGGGAAAGGGGGTCTCGGCAAATATCACGTAACTTCCATTGCAAGAAACAGTATAATTGCGAGAAATAGTATTTAATTGAAATAGAACAAGGGTGAAATTAAAAAGAAAACGACGGAAAAATCCCTAAAATCACCTCGCGTAATTAATGAACGGTTCATTAAATGTATAAGAGGATTTTCGATTTTGTATTTACGAATTTTTTAATTAATTGCTATTGTAACTCACATTGACAGAATCAAAACAACCACTCTTTATCCCTAAAATAAAAAATGAAATATGGTGATCCGGTACTTTCTGCTGGGCACTCGTAGCGTAGGGCGGCACTTGGCCGTAGATGTCGCTGGCATAGCACCTCGGAGGTTGTTTTTAAAACACTGCTTGTAAACAAAACGGTGCCGTTGCCGGACCTCGGGGCCCCTTAACTTAATGCTGTGTGTCGGATCCGGACAGATAAAAACTGCACAAACACTTTCAATTACCTACTCATTAAATTTTTGACTAAGTGTGCGCTCTTAGTTTTGTTTCATTGACGTAACGGACTTTGATGATATAAAAGTTAAAGTTTCAATAACAAGCCTTGATTTTACGCTATTATGTCAACACCTTTAGATATTGGTATTTGTTGCTATCTTGCGGAATAGAAATTACATACGTAAGATTCTCATATAAAAATACACTTACTAAAAGAGAGATGAATAAATTATAACATTGAATTAATAGCAATCCCTATGATTGCTAGAGCGTTTCGACACAGCATGTTGACGTTGGACAAGCGCCGAGAAGTGCTCATCATAAATTAGGCTTCAAGTGGTGAATTGTGGTATCGCGCTTAAAATATTTCAACTTCCTCGACGTCCCGCCGTTAGCTGGCTTAAGCCACTCGAGCGACACTCATTCGATCGTTGGGGCGTCGATTATAAGGTAAACAAAATAATATATACTGTAAAACAATACTTCTAACAAATATTTATTTATGAGCTTTACATTTAAGACAAAAAGGCGTGAAATTATTTTTTAAACTTAATTCGATGTTACTGTTGCAAAAGATACGAATTTCGTTCTAGTAAGTTAAGATAAATATCTA